AAAATATTACTTTCTAGATTATCAAAATCCCATTCAAAACACAATCAGTGAATGCGAAGTAAACAATGTTGCAATGTTGCTGAAAAACTGAACACAGAAACACATAATTACAATTTGACAATTTTACTTCCTCGAATTATACATAATTTAAAGCAAACAATTTGTATCTTGCATAGACATTTATTCAAAATACGCCACTCTAATAGAAATCAAAAGTAGAGATTGGCTAGAAACTAAAAGAGCCATGGGAAAATCGTTAGAAATCGAAGAAGACAAAAGATTGAGCCTTCGTATGCACTGCACTACAGTAATGGTTTAACCACTAACCATACAATGCACATATATATCAAACAGCACAATAATCAAGGCACGATAAATCGCAAGGATGGAACCCCAAGAGAGCCTGCGACCATTTTGTTGTATTCTGGGAGAGTAAGATTGCTGAGAGTGGCCGCCGAACGCGTGTCTCGAAATCCGAACGTTCAGTATGAAGCCGCATCTCGCTCAGCTCACAACGTCGCTGCGGCTAAAATATATTTATATTAGTTTTAAATCCCTACAGCCCAAATACAAATGTGTGTATGCAAGTGCCTCGCTCTCATTCATTGCTTTCCACACTTGAGTGCATTTCTTTCTCCCTGCTTCTCACTAGCTTCTCACAAAACCCTGAGATCTACAAACAGACACATATGTTTGTGATATGTGAATGTGTGCACAAGTAGATCACGGCGTTGTCGCGAACCAGAGATTTATATGTTTAATAATGTTCCTTTTGTGCCTGTGGTAGCAATGGGAACACACATTTAAATGCTCAAGCATATATTTCCTCGTCCAGTCGGGCATTATGAGAAGAATCTGATCTACTTTTACACCTTTGCAGAGCGTATTATAATTTTTTCATGAAATGTGTAACGCATAGAATGTCTCCTTCTCCTTCTTCTCCGACCTCATAAAATATATACATATATGTATCAACAACCGAGTTGATATACCCATGTCCGTCTGTCTCTATGTCTGTTTCTATGCGAACTAGTCTCTCAGTTTGAAAGCTATCTTTATGAAACTTTGCAAATGTTTCTCTTTCTGTTGCACGCAGCATATATTTCAAAACCAGCTGAATAGGACCAATTTATCATATAGCTGCCACAGGAACAATCTGTCGAAAATTAAGTTGTATGAAAAAAAATTAGTTTATTAAAATATTTATTTAAATATTTATTAAAAATTAGTATCTTTTGACATATTTGACCAAACTCGGCATTTAATACTTATAATATACTCTTCATATAAATGCAAAATCCTATTAAGTTCGGACCACTATACCATATAGCTGCCATAGGAACGATCAGCCGGAAATTAAGTTGTTGTATGAAAATACATTTTGTTTATCACGATATCTTGACCAAACTCGGCATTTATTGGGTTTAAAATGCTTCTCATATATGAGCAAAGTCATATTAGGATCGGAACACTATATCATATAACTGCCATAGAAGCGATCAGTCTAAAATTAGTTTTTGTATGAAAACCAATTTTTTTTATCAAGATAGACTTGACTTAAGTCGGCATTTATTAGCTTTACAATGCTCCTCATATAAATGCAAAATCCTTTTAAGATCGGAATCCAAATAGGTGCCATAGGAACGATCACTCGAAATTTAAATTCTCACAATATCTTGACCAAACTCGGCATTTTTTAGTTTAACGGCGTGCCGACCTTGAATGGCCTACATGAAATATTTATATTTTATTTCATAATATTTTTGTTTCCGTATATATACATTATTGTTAACAAGATCACTTCTACCTAACATGGCAGCTTAAACTAGTTTTCTATGGATGTATTACTAATGAGTCTAAGGTGTTAAGGGTATAAAGCAAATAATTTTATTTTTTTATATTCTGCATAAGTATTACTTGTTATATTATATATTTTATTAAAGTGATATGTCTCATAAGACACTGTTAAGTAGATCCAGTGTTTGGCACCGTTTAAGTCTCCTCTTTTTGGCCCTACAGAGACAAACTCCTGTAATGCGGCATATTATTCTTGTTATTCCTGGATAAGTTATGCGTCTCACTAGTGGGTTGGGATGGGAGCGAAGGCGCTCAAAGTATCTTTTGACATGCTTCGGATTACTTTGGGAACTCCTAGGTCTCTCTCGATGCCCTTTGTATGTATATATCAAGGAGCCATTGAGTTATAAGTTTTAAAGTTCATGAGCGGTTGATCGGGTTGGTCCGCAAACGCAAAAACAAACCCAACAAAATAATGCTCATTTACCATAGGAAACAACAACAAATCACTTGCACAACAACAGTGCGCACGAAACCCATTTTTTTTTCGTTGTCCGTTTTGATCTTCCCATGTGTTATTTGCGTATGCCACCAAGCCATGGGTTTCAAATCAAAGGGCTACCCACACGGAGCATAACAACTTATGACGTCACATTTTATAGACTTTTATTTCTTGCCTTGAGTAGTATATTTCAAACCTTTATTATATACTTTTAAATAATTTATGAATAGGGTCCTTTATAGTAAATCATTTATTGACTTATGTAATCATTTTAAATACGAAATGATCGCACATCAAAATCCTTCCAATCTTCTTACATTCATAGAAGTCTCTTGGCTTGGCTGACACATAGATATACGCAGATTTGCACCAATATGTTTGAGATAAGACACTCATACAACAACTATTTGGCGCGTCGCGGCATTAATTATTTATACTTAGAAATGGTAGTTAATGTTTTACGAAAATAATTATTATTAATTGTACCAATAGTTGCACACTTAATACGAAATTTCATTGGATAAAAATGTGTATATTAGTAGGTATTTGGTTATACTACTTATGAATAGTTAAAATACCCTTCTTTGAGAAAGGGTGCCTTGCTGGTCGAATAATGAAATTTTATAAAATTAATGATCTTGCGAATTATAGGCATAGCACTGCTTAAAAACCATATCAATGAGCTAAGAGGGTGTGCTTTTTTCATTGCTGGTCGTTTGTTTCGATTATGGCTGGTTTTGGTTCATATGGAAAATGTTTTGAAGTTGTCATTGAATTTTGGGCATTGGCAGAAGTAGCTGCAGACACCCGGGTGTTGTGTTTGCAATTTGTGTGTGCTCCGGGATTCCGAGACATTTTCGTCTGTGTCACGTTTATGAGAATAACCCTTTTCAACATCGGTGCACGGACAGGGAGGAGACTGATTGGTCTGTACGCGACTTCGTCCGTGAGCTACTTCTCTGGCTTAGGGACCATCGTGATCAGTGCAGACTTTCAGATCTTTGGAAAATGCGGTTGAACAAAAGATCTATGAATAGCAGCGCTCGACGCTTAAGTTAAAGTTTTTGATCTGCAGCATTACCTCCGACAAAGTCAGTGGGTTAGAGGGCAAACAGAGTGTTTTACGTGGGCACCTGCCATGTTGGCTTAATCTCACGGTATTCGAAAATACAACGAGCCGAAACAATGCGTCGGACTATCGCCTCTCCAGGACCCTGACCCTGCTCGAACAATTTCGCTTCGGTACCAATTGAATGAATGCCAGACGAAAGCAATAACAACATGAGGCCGCGTCGTTCGGAAACCGATCAATTTGAGACTAGAATCTTTTGAAGACGGGAAGAAGAAGGGAAGCACTTTATAGATTCGATGAACTTGTTCGTTTTAGGCGAAACTCAAATTTCTGCTTGTCTAATATTTTCGATGAACATGGAGATTGTGTCCCTAATGTCCTCCGGTACGCTTAACTACATGTTGAGATTTAATCTTCTGTCGAGGCCAAGTCTAAACGCTTCAACAGAGGATCGAGGTTGGAGGTTTCATTGCCTTCGTGAGGCAAGTGATCCAGAGAGAGTTCATATAGCGATTGAACTGTGAAAAAGTCGAGCGCAGACTTAGCTGGGTGTTATACGAATATAATGTTTGTTTGCCTGGAGCCAGGACTTTGCATGAGCAGCTCGATATGGCATTTTCTCGAAGACAGTCTCCCCCCTCATTGAATGAGCTGCCCAAGTAATTAAGATATATTCAAAGTTTCGTGTTTCCTTAGGTGGAAGATATAAGGAAGCAATTGTGACGATTCCAGTGCTTGTATGCACGTTACCACTATCTTGACATGCATGCGCGATATGGGCTTATTCTGACAACGGAGAACAGAATATCGGACAACGATCGCTGCTCCATCTCTGCAGTTACCACTGGGCTGATAAGAATGGTATATTTCATAGCCGTGTTTTCAGTTTTCAGTCTAAGACGCATGTGTGTTTCAGTTACCAGCATTTTATCTAGAGTGTGGGCACTAAGAACCTAAGTTCATCATTGTCCTTAAGTAAGCCGCGTGCGTTCCACAATCTGATTTTAAAATGCGGGTTGGTTATTTGGATTTTAGGGAGATGAGATGCTTAACCAGGTCACGAAAAGCTTTATTTTTTGCTACCATCGTCTCCTGTATTAGATTGAACATTTGATCCATTCTCTAATTTAAGTCCTGCATTGATTTCTTTAATGAGTGAAACTTGTTAATAATGGACGACTGCAGCCGGGATATATGCGTGTCGGTTGGCTCGCATTGGCATGCTTCTTTTGCTTGTGAGAACGCGTAACCCCATTTTTTGGCTAACCCACAACTGGCTTAAACTTTTTTTTTATTCCCTGAACCCATTGAATTGAAAAAGGGTTTATTGTATTTGTGCAAAATTCAATTGTGTGTAACAGGCAGAAGAAAGCATATCCGACCCATAAAGCATATATATTCTTGATCAGCATCAATAGCCGAGTCGATCTTGCCATGTCCGTCTGTCTGTCTGTTTGTCCGTCCGTATGTATAAACACAAGGATCTCAGAACTAGACAGCTAGAGACTGAAATTTTAGATGTAGGTCCTTCTAGTGCCTGCGCAGATCGAGTTTGTTTCCGATAATCGATAACTCACTCCGTTTCCATGTTGTAATAAGAGGGTTCAGGGTATTCCCTAGTCGGGAGCTCCCGACTAAAACCTCTTGTTTTATTCTAAGTTGGCAGCCCTTAAAACTAACTATGTGGTCCCCACTACAGTTAGAATATGTGTTGTTGTCACTCAACCTCAACTGACAAGATACTGAGTCGATACGGTGATCGCCTGCGCACTTGCCATAGACTGGATTTTTAGCGTAATTTAGTAATTTAGCGTGTGCCCAAGGTATTGACAATTAACAAATTGAACCAACTCACTTTTGCGACCCGCTTTCTTTACTGTAACCTTTTTATTTCTATATGGGTTATTTTAACTGTTTCGGCTACATTTGATGTGTGTTCGATATTAACGTAGAACATATTTTGTCTAGTCTTCGCGTTATTTATTTGCTCATCGTCCTCCTCGTTGATCGGATGTGCGCAAGTCCATTTTTCTTGGGCAATATATGTTACTGTGCAACCTTTAAAAGAGAATGCGCTTAAGATCATTTGGGACATTGGCATGATATCCCTACGAACCAGTCTATAAGGTTTGTCATCCCGCAGTTGGTGCTGCTAAAACTCACAGTCTAGTTGGATTAGCGCTCTAACAACTGATCGAAACGCTTGAGCATTAGCAGTGTAGATACGCATGACTCCGAATTTGGATGTTTGCACGTCGTATTCTTTGTCTGTTACAACAGCGTTGAGTGCCCGCTCCAACACGTGCAGTTTGTTAACTTGAAGCACACAGATTGCTAGAGGTTAAGGTGAAGACTTATTTTAAACAAACCTCTTGTTTGTTTTATTTTTAAAATATTCGCATACTCTTTAGCACAACAATACATACACACACAAATAATTACAATTGCGAATGTATCGTATCAATAACCATGTTCTATGGTTATTGATCGTATGCTGTCCTCTTTACATATATGAATGTGCTGCTGTTTAAGTACCGTTTTTTCATTAGATGCCAACTCTTGGAATGTCAGCCGTTTCGTTGATCAATGGTGAAAAATTTTATTCCAGGTATGATATTTTTTATACAATTATAACTTTTTGTAATGATAGTTGTACCATTAGAAAAGGTCAAGAAATTTCATTTTTTTTCGGCTTAGCCTAACCAAAGAGAGCGCGTAGCACGAGCTGTTTATAGTTAGTATTTGTTTATGTGTATTGTCCATGTGTCACTAAACATACATACGAATGTATGCACTCTCATATTAATTTAAAAAATGTCAATTTACGCCAAACATTATTTCCTTATTCAAAAATCAATATTTTTATTTAAGCTTGCGGAAGATATGTAATTTAATGTATGTACATGTATGTATATATATATTCTCATACATACTTACATACGTTTGAGGCTTAGTCCTAATCAGTGCATAAATATGTATGTACATATTATTTTTATACCCCGAACCCATTAAAAATGGATATAAGGGTGTATTGTAGTTGTGCAAAATGCATATGTATGTAACAGACAGAAGGCAGCATCTCCGACCCCATAAAGTACATATATTCTTGAGCAGCATCAATAACCGAGTCAATTTAGCCATGTCCGTCTGTCCGTATGTATGAACGCAAGGACCTCAGAACCTATAAGAGCTAAAGACAGAAAATTTTAGATGAGGGTCTTCCTAGTGCCTGCGCAGATCCAGCTTGTTTCTGATAATCGTTTCCAATCAATCGATACAAATCGATATCAACATCCTGTTTTTTGAGCAAATTGGGTAAATAATAAGAGCTGGAGTCACCAAACATGATATGTTGCTTCTAGAATATTTTATATATGTCAAGTATCTTTCATTTTATACTTATAGCCACCTCCCCGTTACCACCACAGAGCTATAAATCAAGTTAATAACCCAATTTGTATTGCCAACCAATTTAAGCCACAATTTAAATACAATTGACGTTTTCAGAATACACAAATATTCTATGGTACAATAAGATATACTGTAGAAAATTTCATAAAGTTCGGTTAAGAAAAAAACCAAAGTTATATGTAACCGCGCAATTGAATGGGGCAGCAGCTTTAAGAATTTCTGTATACATGTACACTCACACATTCATACGCGTTTGCTTCGAATTCTATCAACGACATTGCAATAACGATTGTTTTCTGTTCTGCTATTTAATTAGTACTTTTCTCAATTATACATAATTATTGGTGTGGGTGTTGAATACAGGCCTAGAATGTGGTGCGGTATGTTGCGAGTTCAAACCCTGCCAAGAGAACTTTTTTTTAATTATCTTAATTACTTCAATTGCGGTGGTGTTGGAATAAGAAGGTTCAGGTTATTTCCTAGTCGGGAGCTCCCGAGTAGAACTTTTTACTTGTTTATTTATTTTAAAATATTTTATTGTCAATGTATAAAATCATTAAATTTTGTTTACCGAGTACAAAAATGCTTTAAATGTCTAAACAGCTTTATTCGTAAAAGTGCTTCTCAACCCAACGAGGTAAAGTGAAAGCAGCAGCATGGATTTCACTTGTGTAGTACTTCAAATTTAATGCATCTATTTCGGATTTCTCAAACTTTTTCACGGGGTTTTCTAGCCTATGTTTTTTATCCAAAGATGCTATTATAAATCCTATGTGACCACATGGATAAGATGGAACAGAAGTTATGGCATATCCTACTTTTGGAAAATGCAAGGCACATCCTTTTAATGTTTTCTTTACGTATTCAAAGTCCAACCAAAAACTTCCTGCTTGAGAGCATACAACACCTCCATCTCTTAGTGCTTGTTTTAGTAAATCAAAGTAGCTTTCATGAAACAAGTTAACGGCAGGACCAATTGGATCAGAGCTATCGGTTATAATGACATCAAATTCGTTTCTGTGATTTTTCATATACTCAAAACCATCGCCGATAGTAAGCTTTAACTTTTTGCTATCGAATCCACATGCCATAGAAGGTAGATACTTTTTTGAAAGTTGAACAACACGATCGTCAATTTCGACTTGATGAACTTCTTTAACCAGCGGATGCTTTACAACTTCGCGTGCTACACCTCCATCACCACCGCCAACAATTAAAACTTTCTGTGGGTTTGGATGACAGCATAGCGGCAAAAAAGCTATCATTTCCTGGTAGGAAAACTCATCCCTAGAAGTACACTGAATGATACCGTCCAGTATTAGGCACCTTCCATATGTTTCTCTGTGAAAATAAAGTGAAGGATTGATTAGCGAAAGTGTATAACTTTCATTCGAAGTTAATGAAATTGTGTTTCAGCAATTTTGGATATTCCACCCGTAACACTCGTAAATTGGCGAAAAACAACTCGACTATCATAAAAACTATGGTCAATAAAGCCGGAATTGTTTTGGGTTTTATCCAGCGATGGTCACAGATGTTTGAGAGTCCGTACACTAAAAAAAAACATTTTAATTTCTGGTGCTTACTATTTTATCTTTGAATATGTACATAAACAATTTTTGCTGTTAGTCGTTCGTGGCTTAAATTGGGATACTGTATACGGTTACTAATATACTCTAGAAGACTTCTAAGGACTAATCTTCTTTAATTAATCGTTGGACTATGCTTGGTGAAGTTCATGAGTTGATATCGCGTGAAAACAGCTCTTCTATGTTGACTAACCAATAACCCACGCCTTGTCACGCGTCCCGTACACTTCATATTACCGAGTATAAATTCAGAAAGAATATAGCGTTTGGTGCTAGTGGATAACTCTACAAAATTTTTAAAACTTTTTCCAGTAAATAGTACAAGTAAATAATTTCAATTTTAGATGTTTTTAACAATTACTTTCGTAATAGTAATGGCATATTTTCATAAGTATGATAAGCCAAAGTCTAATGTCGTCTATTAGTAGAATGCCTATGCAAAATGCTTCGTTGGTTCCCATTTGTATACCCTTGCAGAGGGTATTATAATTTGGTCGTGAAATTTGTAACGCATAGAAGGAGACCCATAAGAACCCATAAAGTATATATATTCTTGATCAGCATCAACAGAAGTAGCCATGTCCGTCTGTGTGTTTTTATGCGAACTAGTCTCTCAGTTTTAAAGCTATCTTGATAAAACATTGCAGAAGTTTCTCTTTCTGTTGCACACAGCACATATGTTAAAACTAGCTGAATCGGACCAATATATCATATAGCTGCCACAGGAACGATCGGTCGAAAATTAAGTTGTTGATTGAAAAAAACATTTGTTTTTCAAGATATATCGACCAACCTCGGCATTTATCAGTTTTACTATACTTCTCATATATATGCAAGATCCTGTTAAGATCGGATCACTATAGCATATAGCTGCCATACGAACGATCGTTCGAAAATTAAGTTGTTGTATGAAAAAACATTGTTTTTTTCAAGATATCTTGACCAAACTCAACATAGGAACGGTCGGTGGAAAATCAAGCTGTTGTGTGGAAAACTTTTTTGTCATTCAAGATATTTTGGTTAAACACGGCATTTAAAGATTTCACTATGCTCCCTTCAATTTTTTAAAATCTTATTTACTATTATTTCATATATCTGCCATAGGAACGATGGGTCGTAAACTAGGTTTTTGGTTAAAAACCCTCTTTTATTTATCAAGACATCTTTAGCAAACTCGGCACTAACTATTTTCCCTGTGCTTCTTAGATACGGGTAAAGCATTATGAGTATTATAAAAAGGTTGGGTCTGCAAGGGTATTAGATCTTCGGCGTGCCGAAGAGTGCCTTTCTCTTTCGTTACTTCCGTTATTACACTTTTTTGTGGCAGGATTTGATTTTTACAAGACATAAGTATTAGTGAAAAAAGAGATCAGTGTGCATTTGGCAGTAATACTGAGCATTCTTATAAATATTTTATAATTTTTATACCCTGAATCCATTAAAAATGGCTAAAAAGGGTATATTGTATTTGTGCAAAATGTAAATGTATGTAACAGGCAGAAGAAAGCATCTCCGACTTCATAAAGAATATATATTCTTGATCAGCATCAATAGCCGAGGATCTAGCCATGTCCGCCTCTGTCTGTCCATATGTATGATAGCAAGGATATCAGAACCTATATGAATTAGAGACATGAAATTTTAGGTGTTGCTCCTCCTAGTGCCTGCGCAGATCGAGTGTGTTTCCGATAATAGATAACTTGCCCATTCACAAACAATCAATATCGATATCCTTTTTTTTAACAAATTGAATAAATAATAAGAGCTACAGTAACAAAATATCAAGCATCTTTCATTTTATACCTATCAGATCAAGTTAATAAGCCAACTTGTATTGTCCACTAATTTAAGCCACAATTTAAATGCAATTTAATTTTTGCGAATACACAAATATTCTATAGTATAATAAGATATACTGTAGAAAATTTAATTATGATCATGCGCGTCTTCTTCGCATTCTGTCAACATTACAATTGCGATTGATTTTTGTGCTGCCATTTAAATTTGCTTTTCTTCTCAATAAGACTTAATTATTAGTGTGGCTGCTGAGTAGAAGCAGTGGCCAATGGTGCGATCTGTCGCGAGTTCGAGCCCTACCAGCGAAACTATTTTTATACCCCGAACCCATTAAAAACGGATAAAAAGGGTATAATGGTTCTTATTTCTTTTTATTATTTAAAACGAACTGCATTTTGTGTTGGTACAAGAGGGTTTAGGGTATTCCCTAGTCTGGAATTCCCGACTAGAATCTCTTACTTATTTATGTTGATAACATTAAAGCAAATGTAGAATAATTCGACTATCGAAGTTTTTTCTTTAGAATGCTATAGGTAAAGCCTTTTTCCGCCAAATTAAGGAAATGAAGACAAGTGTAAAGATAGACACCATAAAAATAGGCCACCATAGATACCGGTGCAAACGGGAAATTCGTCGCCTTGTTATTCAGAAAGAAATTTTATGTAATAAAATAATATCCTTTTAGCATTTTAATGTTACCAATAGATGATTTAACAAATTTTAGTGGAATATAAAAACCTAAAATATACTTTGCTGAAGTTTATTGTCACGGGACGTGGCAAATGTTAGTTTGGTGAATCCTAAAACTGTTTGTCCCGAAAAAAT